GTGTCTTGGCGGGTCGCTTCGAAGAATTTCAGATATGCAAAGAAGAGCGAACGATTGATTCTGCAATTTAATTTTTTTATTCTCCGTGAAATTTGAACAAATAATCTAAAGATTATTCCCTCTTAATTTATCGTTCTTTTCTTCTTACTTTTTTCAATATAATATATCGGTTTCCTGGTCACTTTCTATTCAAAAAAGTTAAAAGTTGTTGCGAAAGAATTGAGATTATTATCTCAACAATCACTACTTTTTTCCCGACATTATCGTTATTTAATAAAATAAATTTCTCAACCTTCCTTTTCGTTTAAGAGTTTACACAATTAAAGTTCCTTTCGAAATGAAAAATCAAACTGATCGTTAAATATTATTATTCTAAATTAAAAATCCACACCACGTATAAGAGGAAGCCCGTACAAACAGTATCGATATCGCGCGAATTTCTTCTCCTCCTTTCAATTTCATCCCCGCGAGTAACAAAAACGACACGGCCCCAACCCCCGAAAGCGGAGACTTTTTTTTTTTTTTTTTCCAAAGCGCTCTTCCGCGTCGCGTTCTCCCGTTTGTTTGCACACCGATCCCGCGGAGAGCATCTTGGTGCTCCCGCCGTTGCTCCCGGTTCCCAGGGGTTAATTTTAAATTGCGCCTCGCGCTGCTCGTAATCCCGGCTCCCGTCTCGTCGTCTACGAGGCTCGAGAGCAAACGTTTGCTCGCGCACCGGTAGGGTAGGGTGGAGGGAATTCACCGTGGATAAACAAACAAATATAAATTTCTATACGTCTCCCCAAACCGCCCCTCCGATTCTCTCGCCAGTCTTCTCTCACGTGGAAAGCCAAACAACCGCGATATATATATATATATATATCTATCTCGCTCCCTCCATCCTCTGCCCGCGCGTTTAAACGCGAGCATTTTGATCCCCCGTCCACCCCGACCCGGGATGAACCGGGTCGAAAACTACGCATTATTTGGAGTTCCAATTACGCGACACGCAAGCGAGCAGGAAAGACGCGGAGGTGCACGCGTCACGTATTCCGTTCCCCGGCATCCAAAGCGGATGGGTTGGGGGTGGAGAGAGAGAGAGAGAGAGAGAAAGGGAGAGGGAGAGGGAGAGGGAGGGTAAAAGGACCGGCGTACTGGCAATCAGTAACATTATACGACGCGACACGAGCCAACCACCCCATTAGCATTCATATTTCAATTTCATAGCCCTCGGGCTGGTGGTTGTACGGGATCCTGCGAGGCTGGGAGGGGCGCGGGCGGGGTGTGCAACGGAGATAAATACAAGTTCGATGGAAGGGAGAGCGTGAAAGGGAAATGGCGGGGGGGAGGGATGGGGGACAGGTAGCGAAAGAGGATTAGTGGGAGGGAGAGAGAGATGGGGGAGGAGCGATGAGAGGGATAGAGACGTGTGAACGGCGACGATGAAAGGGATGGAAAGAGAGAGAGAGAGATGAAATTGAGGTAGCGATGGGAATGATCCGCTCGCGTTTTTTGAATAAATGAATTATCGCGGAACAATGATGCAGATTCTGAGCGTGAAAAGTAAAAATTCTAAAATAATATATATATATATATATTTGTAAATTTCGAAAGAAATTATCATCATATCATTCCAAACGATGGAATGAGATATCTTGGAAATTTAATAAAAATTCAAATTCGCCGTTACGCGTTTAATATTAGAAGAATGTTGGATTAAAATTTCACAATTGCAGTAACAATCGAGAATATCCGAAAATCTAAGCCGAAGATCGTCGCTTGATTGAAAATTTCCGGAACGATATAATAGAATTAGTCCCATCGCTAGAATTCGTGCACATTATGAAAGCGTGGCGAGATTACGCGCTACCCCCCCAGAGACTCCCCTCCTCCACCTCCTCCCACCAGCAACAAGGAGAGAAAGAGTGAGAGCGAGAAACGAAGAGAGAGAGAGAGAGATAGAGTGGGGAGAAACACAAGCGAGAAACACAGGGAGGAGGGAGAGAGAGTTAATACCGATGGAAACCTATTACCATCTATCTCAATGCCGGTGTAATGGATGCGCAGCCCCAATTATCAATCCGTAATAATTGTGCATATTAAACGGACGCTAATTATCGGGCCGGCCGCGGGCCATGGGCCACAGGCATCGGCCGGCAAATTGCGCAAGTTATGCTGGGTGTGTACGCTGTTAAAACACGGCCACCCCCCTCCCCCTCCACTCCCTCGTAATGACGGCCGCGGAAAAGAGCCACGCCGAAAAGATAATTACGCTGGAAATCACTCGGTCACCGAATAATATAACGCGGATTGGCCCCCGCCTATCCAACGTGCATTTGAGTCATTTGCCACGGGGAGGGAGGGAAGAGGGAGGGAGGGAGGGAGGGGTGTTTTATAAAACGCTTTCATGTATTAATTAACGATCCGTTATTGACCGATTCCCGCGCGTTGAACGAGCGCGATATCCTTGTGCAATCGCGTTAGGCGCCCCCTCCCCCCCCCCCCCTCCTCCTGCGATTAATGCGTCGCGATAAATAATTTTTCGGCGGTGAAATTCTTTCGAAATTCGGATTTCGCGTTCGTGATTTCATCAGAGGGATATTTTTATTATCGTGATTTAATATTCGATATTTTAAGGTGTTGTGATGATTTGACGAAGTGTTAAAAATTTTAAAAAGTAATTTATCCATACGAAATATTGCGGGGGTTGATTAAGAAGGATAGGGAATAGGAATTGTTTTCAATTCTTTTCGAAATAAAATTTTGATGACGTTTCGCGCTCCGATTTTCAACCAGGGAAAAAGATACGATTGCTTCTTTTTCAAAGATCATTTCATCATCGGGCGACTTTTTTTTTGCGATCGACCGCGAAATGATCCTCCGGGTCACTCGAGAGATCGGAAGTGGAACGCGGAGGGGAAGAGGAGGAGGAGGAGGAGGAGGAGGAGGAGAGAACACGCTGGCTCCCTAAGCGGTCTTCTTCCCCTCTCGAGTCTTTTTTGCCAGCCCGGAGCGCTTTTAATAAACGCGCGCCGCGCCCACTAGTCGCTTTATGCTATCAAAGGTGGGGTAAAGGGCGTGCGTGGAGGAGTGAAAGGGGGTAAAAAGGGCAGAGAGGAAAGAAGGAGAGGGGAGAGTGGATAACGGCGGAGAGAAGAACGGGGATGCATTTGACGACGAGCTTTTTACAGCCCTGTGTTCAGGCTTTTACGTCCATTTCAGGTTTCCTCCTCCTCCTCCTCCTCCTCCTCCTCCTCCTCTTCCACCGGCTGATCCGCAACCTTCTCTTTCTTCTTTCCACCTTTTATTCACCTCTTCTCTCCCCCTCTAAACCCCCTCCCCCCTCTTGTCTACCTCTTTCACCCCATTTGTTCACCTCATCTCCCTTCTGTGTTCGGCCAGTTTCTTCCTTCGTCTCGGGCCGCCCCTGATTTTATTTGTTCCCCAGGTATTCCCTTTCAACTGCTCGCTCGTTTGCTTGCTTGCTCGCTTGCTCACGCACACGACATCAAATGCACTCCACGACGATGCTCTAATTTCTTTTACGAGATGAAATTCGACGCGGTTCTAGTCCAGTTCTTCCTCACCCTGGCCAAAATCTCCCACTTCCGTTCCCCTTCCATGAGCGAGGAAGAGGGAAAGGGATACGTATACGCATACACACACACGATCAACGGGGCGCGATACTTTTTTTTTTTTTTTCTTTTTTTTTTTTTTCGAGAACAGAGGCCACGCGACCCATAAAAGCCGGGAAACGGTCGGATTTTACGATGAAACGTATCCGTTTTCCCCTCCATCGGGGGGAAACGAGGGTAAAACGAACCGATACGCGCCCCTCCACCCCGCCTCTCGAAATTCGATCGAGCGTCGTTCATTCGCAGATTGTAATTGCGAATCTGTTTAATTCCCCGATCCCCTATCGGACCTCGGTTGGAAATAAATTCATAGATTCGTTTGTTTTAACGAACGAAACCGGGAGAGGGTGGAAAATGGTAGGATTCGATGGGAATAGAACGAGTTTATTTGCCACGGCGTGTGTGTGTGTGTGCGTATACACGCGTGTACACGCAACGAGTAAATTGGTCATGAATTAGAAGTTGTATCGGTTAATGGTAAACGTGTGGTTGATTTGAGGGGAAAAGTTGTACTATATAAATATATATGTATATATCGAATTTTTTGCCGAGAGTTGAATTTTTGAAATTAATTGGATCGAGCCTGTATTATTTCCCTGATACGAGGGGTTAAAATAATTGCGATGGCTGGTCGTTGGATTTTTGTTATTTGGAGAAACTTTTAACATGGTAATAGTGATCGATGGATACGTAAATAATTTCGTTCCATTTAGTTTATACGTATCGAGATCGAGGTGAAATAATCCGTATAAAATTTGAAATTGAAAGTTTCAGAAGAATTAATCGACTCCATATTCAAATTTTAAACTTGAACGTTGCAAATTTTTAAGTAAATTTTTACTTACGTTCTCTGAAATTTTGAAATCCACTATTTTTCACCAAGAATTTAATTCCAATTCAAATGTTTATAACCATCTTCAAATTTGTATAAAAAAAAAAAAGATTAGTTGGAAATTTTGCGACTTGGAAAAATTTTTAGAAAAATTTCTACTGAGAGAGAAGCTGCTCTCCCTTTGCACAATTTTTCGTGTACAGTCGCGTGGCGTTTAAGCGGAAAACGCGAGACGGAAATGGAGGGATAGCTGCAGGGATTAAACGCTTATCGGTGCACGTGTTGGCTGCACTCGCTTCTTGGAAAGGGTGAATCTGTCGCGAGGAGAAGTTCATCGCCTTCTCGATAGGATTATCGTCTCGGTCGGAATCGAAATTCGTCGTGTTCGAGGCGGATCGCTGGGAATCCCGACATCCCGTGCAACGATATTGCTATTTACGATGGAACGCCGGGGCGAATAACCATATTCGTTGTTAATAGACTGTTATCGATTGCCCATTCGGCTGAACCGCGATTGCACCGTTTCTCTATCGAATAAATTGTTTGATACTCACATGCCTCTCCTCGGCCGGATTAAGACCTGCAACACATGAAACGGATACACACAGTTAATGGATACAATTTGATTTATTCTCAATTCTTTTTTGCATTTGATCGATTGAGGAGAAAGTATATATATAAAACTAAGTTTCGATTAATCATTGAATATTTTTATAATTAATTTAATTCTAATCTATTAATATTGAATAATTCATTATCAATGAATCATTTTTAAAAACATGCGCGTTCAAAAAGTTCAAAGAATATTTTTTTTACCAAGAAGATATTTGCAATTCATCCGTAAAAGTAATATTACGCGATATTTTTGATCCCAAATAATAATTAGGAAATTTAAAGAGCATCAGAGTTTTCCTATACATGGATAAAATGTTATACAGTTTACAAAGTTTGCGTTAAACTTCATCGGAACACGAGACTTAAGAAATAACCGTCGAGCGAATAAACATTTTATCATGAAATATGGTGCGCCTTAACTATCCCCTCGAGAAGAAGCTGTTCGAGGAATCCATATTAAACGCAGTGAACAGCGTCACGAAGCATTTAATCAAGAACGTGTCGAGCAAGCATCGTCTCATACTACTATTTCCTCTCAAGCTGAACAACTCATTTAACGCACAGATATCATATTTAGTCTCGCCTCCTTGCCACCTCGAAACAACGATAAATATTATCCTCGTATTAAAGATAGAAAAAGGAAGAATGAAAAGAAGATAACCATAACCTTTTAATAATCGTTAAAAATAATGTCGTTAAACCATATTATTAGCCTGCATTCGATCGCGCAAAATTGGCCAATTATCGAGAGAAGCATTAATTACGAGAAATTGATGGGAAATAAATTTTTTTCCGAATAGCAGGCGATCATTTCACATTTTTCTTCGATATAAAAATATCATTTTGCGCTTGAAACGACGCGTGATATTTTACATAATTGAAGACCGCGGTTTTTACCGATTTTCTATTTTTCGCTTGATTCTAAGTGCGATCCTTCGTAACGCAGTTACACAATTCTTCGTAATTTTTTAAACTTAAAAAAAACTTGATAAGATTCCTCTAGATGCGAACGATACGAACCAAGGAAATAATTTAATAATAAATAATCGTTAACAAATTGTTTTAAAAAAAATATTGCTTAACCGTTCCTCGAAACGAAACTTTCCATCGATTTTCCAAATATATTTAACCCGATACGATTTTAACAACGCTTAGTCGGACAGAACAGATCTAAAAAAACAGTTTTTAAAAATTAATTATCGTACTCGAGAATGTTTCTCAAGAAAGAACATTCGTTCCGATCCCACACTCCTCTCCTCAAGAAGACACTCCAAGCATCGTTCTCTGCCCGTTCAAGACCTATTCCGTATTTCCCGGAAAATTGAACCTTCGCCATGTTTTTCCATGATTATTGCGGAACCAACTCCGGCGGTATGCCGGTAGAATCTTTTCCCGCGAGATAAAAGGAAAAAGGTGGCAGAACGTATAGTAAGAGAGAAGGTAGGCTTGGCTCCTCTCCTCGAGAATTTCCGAGAAGGGATGTCGAGGATGAGGAGGAAGAGGAAGAAGAAGAAGAAGAAAAAGAAGAGGTCGATCCGCTAGAAGAGAGAGAGAGAAAGGCTTTGTCCTCGAGAAACCCGGCTTCTTCTTCATAGTTTGCCCTCGCTCGATTTCTTCCCCCAAACCTTCCCCTCCCTCCTCTTCATCTTTTCTCGTCTCTTTATACTTTTCGTGGGTACACTTTGTCTCGTCAGGAAATACCTTAACGATACTATTCTTCGCCTGTTGTTACCCATCCTACGACAAGGCGTGCACATCGCACAACGAGCCGTTTCTCGAACACGGTTAACCACGTCTTCTTTATCTTTTGTTCTTTTTATTGATGCGTTAGTAGAGGATAGAGGATATTCGATAAAATAAAAAAAAAAAACGTGTCGAGTATTGAACGATATCGTGGGAATTTTGAATGTGACTCGAGGAGTGTTCTCGACAAGAAGAATTAGAATTTTGATATATTTGTCTTTCGGATAGAAAGTCGCGTTTAATCGTCTGGATATTTGATATTTGATATCCTTGCAACGTTGAGCTCATTTCTAATTTATTCAAAAATCCAGAATTTTATCTCTAGTTAATTATCAAAAATATATTTTCATGCAACAACAACAATAATAATAATAATAATATAAGTTATTCACGAGCAAGATTTCTCTCGTTAAATGTATCTAAAAATACTATACGAAAGAGTATAAATAGAGAAACCTTTCTTCTTTTTTTGAACATTTGTTGTTTCTATACTCATCACACTAATGATACATCGAGCGTTGGATGTCGAGTGATTATAGTGTTTCAACGGTCAATGATAATCGTTAAAAACTTGAAATCAGCCAGTGTAACATAACATAAGTACTCCACTTTCTCATTGGAACTCTTTGTAATTGTAATTTTGAGGAACATATATTCGATGTTATTTCACGCGCATTGATTGCAGAAACAGCAGAAATCTCTACTCGGATACTGTTTTCATTTTCGCACAAACGCCGATCATTAATTCCTGTTTTGCCAAGTTTGCTATCTAATCCATCTAATCGATCTCCCCAATCTTTCGAACGTCTAAACGCGTATGTAACAACACGTTGTTCGCTGCCTTTTTCTGCTTACTTTTAACCATTAAGCGCTTACATCAGTTATTTTTCTTGCAGCATATCTTGCGTTGCAACCGTAGCTTTCTACGCTGCTAAATTAACGCTCGTAACCATATTCGTTTTAATCGTTCTTGCTCAAGCCCATAAGTATCAAACTCTATAGAAATATAATCTACCAAGTTTCTTCGATGTGATTTCGCAAAAACATTAACAGTTCATTAAACAATTATTCGAGATTATTATTTTTCAATTATTTTTACCTCAAGTGACAGTTGCTCTTAAACTCAAAACTCAAAAAGCATTGCGTGAGAGAGGTCAAAAAATGAAGGTAGAATATAGCTATGTTTTTTCTTATTAATATATATATATATAATAACTTATTAATATTTATAAGATATTTAAATTATTAGATAATTAACTTATTTATTTTAAAAGCCATGAAACAAAATATATATTATGATTATTCTTATAATGATTTAAAATATCTGAATAATTAAAATTTAGCTTTATTCAATCGACGAGAAAATGGAATTCCGATTCGATCCACGAGTACAGAAAGAAATTTCAACGATCTATTCGCGATTAATTTCCTGTAATTTAATGATCATTTCTCAAATAGCGAAAAATCAAAATTATCCTCTCAAAAAGATCTCTCTCCTCTCGCACTCTCCATTTTTATCCTCGCGCGAGAAATCACTCTCCCGTCCAAAGATTAAAATTACAATCATCCAAAGTACGGTGTAATTTTCATTTCTCGCAAAATGTTACGTTCGCTGGCACGCAGCCGGTTGAAAGCCCCGACAATTCACCAAAACACCTATGCGCGCGGGACAACAAGACATCCCCACCGCGACAAAACACGGTCAAAGAACGAATTAACGTTATATACCGCAGGCAGCAACGCTTAAAACGGCCGGCGGTATCGTCGACGAGAGCGACAAGAAATAACCCCGACTGGATATATACCCTTCTCCCTCCCTCCCGACAAAGGAACTGAGAAACGCGGGGACGAGGAGCAGGCAAACGGAAAAACCCGACGCCATAAAGTTTCCGGAGGGAGGCGAACCCCCTCCGCCACTTGTATAAAGGATAAAGTAATCTCTCTCTCTCTCTCTCTCTCTCTCTCTCTCTCTCTCTCTCTCTCTCTCTCTCGCTCTCTCTCTCTATCTCTATCCCTCTCTCTTTCTCGAGAGAGCAAGACGTCACTCGCGCGGGTTCTTGCACGCCGATAAAACGTATCCGCGAGGGTCGACTCCGTCGTGTGTTTTATGGTCGGGCAAATTAAGGAGAAGCGCCGTTTGCGCGCTGGCAAAAGGATCCACCACCCCTCGTGGCCATTACGGAGTTGTGTTGGGGGGTGGCGGAGCGCGAACGGAAAAGGGGTCGTGAATTTTCTGGCCCGTGGACCGCATCCAACTCTCTCTCTCTTTCTGTCGAGCAAGGGGGTGAGTAAGTAAGGGAGGAGGAGGGGAGGAGCAAAAACGAAAGAGCATTTTCGACGACGCTCTCAGAGTCGCGGACTGTGTTATCCTTCTCTCCTCTCTTCGTCCTGTTTTCGAGGCGAGAGGACAACTCGGCTTCTTTCACCCTTTTCTTCACCCCATTTGCTGGCCACCTGGAAAAACCGGACGCGGAAAACGGCGCGAGTGATTCTCTGGTAAAAACGAAGGAGGCGCTCGGCGGGAAACCGAGATGGCGCGCGCGTCCACTTTTGGCGCCGCCATTGGGAGGAGAGCGGGAAAATTGCAGCGAGAAGAGGAGAGGAAAAGGTTAGAAAAGGGTAAGGAGAGAGAGAGAGAGAGGGACGTGTATTATTGCGAAGTTGGCAGGGGATCGGAAATTCGATTCGGTTCCGATCGGTTTTTCTACCCTTTCGGCGAGAATTTATTTATTATAGAACGGATTGGAACTATTGATGCACGATCGAAATTCGAATCTTTGGTTCGACGAACAAATTCTTCCAAAGAAATATTAACATTCTATGTAACGCAAGGAATCGATTTTAACGATCCGATCTCGACTTAAACTTAAACTTGTTCGTCGATGATCGAAGAGGATCGAGAAGGAGAGGAAGAAAGAAGGAAAGAGGAAAAGGAACGACAGAAAGGAGGACGATATCCGGATACGAATTACGAGGGGATGAATTACGTCGCGCACGAAGGGAGGAGGCCACGATCTCTCTCTCTCTCTCTCTCTCTCTCTCTCTCTCTCTCTCTCTCTCTCTCTCTCTCTGGGGGACCATTACTCGGCCAAGTATCTCCGCGATGAAATGGTAATGCGAGCGATACCGGTTTCTAATCGTCTGTGAAAGAGGTCTTCTACCCGCGTTCTGGTAAATCGTTTCGCGAGCGAGCGGGCAAGAAGAATCGGATGAATGGGCAGATATCGCTACTCTTACTATTACTACTACTACTACTACTACTACTACTACTTAGTTAGGAGTCGTTCGACGGGGGAGGGGGAGAGGAGAATCGGGGCAAGTCGGTGGAAAGACTTGGAAGGGGGGGAAAGATGAGGTAGGGGCGAGAAAATGGACGGAAGGTGGGAGGATGAAACGATAACGGCCCTGCTGGAAACAATTCGCTCGGGGGCAATGTTCCGGAAAGGAGGGAAGAAGTTTCAGTTGCCGCGACAGAAATAGTGGCCCATTACGGTTCCTTGCCTCCGCTCTCAGTGACGTTTCAAAAGGGTGTCGACGAGATGGGGGGAGAGAGGGAAAGGCGAGACAGTGATTTCAAATGTCGCGGTTTGTTCCCGCAGGATCGTATCGAAAGAACGTGGCACCCACGTGTGGTGGAACGATTCAACGATTCGGGATTCTTGTTTCATTTCCTTGCATTCGGGAAGAATGGAGCAAGTCTTTCGAGGATTGGAGAGAAAAAAAAAAAAGGAAGTCTTCGTATTCTACCAGTAGCTGTGAATAAAAATCTTCTCAAGAGCTTTACCCTTCGTTTCCCTAAACAGAAAACCTACGAGCCAAAGAAGTTCTCCATTTTCACGGTTGGCGAGCAAACTGCAACTCCATTAAGCGTGCACAGTTTCCGGTCGAGTTCCAACACAACCACGCACAAAAAGGGAAAGAAACGAGTATCAAAAAAGAAGAAGAGGAGGAAGAAGAAAATAAAGGGAAGACGTCGTTACGCTGCACGTTGCGACGATTATAGCGGGGAACAGTCGATCACTGTGGCGCAATTTTCAAACGGGCATCGAGGGGATTGGCTGCTGCTCTGAGATGCCAGAGATCGCGGTGCAAACTCTCGCGGTAGCGAAGAGCCAACGCTCAAGAAAACGCGAAACAGCAACGTGGAACAACTGGCCGGAGGAGAAAGAGGGAGAGGGTTATTCTCGGGCCGCGGTAACATAGTTAGGCGAGAGTGTAGATATTGCACGGCAACTACTCGGGAAGAGTAGTGAGTGGAGGGGAAGGGAGGGTGGTACGAGGGGGAAGAGAAAGAGAAGTAGAGTGAGCAAGAAGGGAAAGGGAGGAGATGAGAGGAACAGACTGAGGGGCGCGAAGGTTTAGAAGAGCCATCTAAAGGTGGATGGAACGAAAGAGGGGAAGAGTCGGAAGTACTCTCGTGTCAAGAGGAGATTCTGAGTGCTCTTCTGAGAGACGACCATGCACAGCGCGCGAGAAAGAGATATATATATATATATATCACACNACACACACATAGAAAGAGGAGGTTCGACGAAACATAAGGGACGGGAAGGAGAGGGTTTGCACGTACGAGCGCGCGAGCACGTGTGCGTCGTACGCGTGTGTACGAGAGTGGTGTGTTTACGAGAGTGTGCGCGAGAGAGATAGGAGAGTCACTCGAAGCCCTCGCGACTTTGTCAGCGCTACACGGGTCCTAAGTGCGAACGTTCTTGCACTCGTGTGTCGTCCCAAGGAGAGAGAGACGAGGACGCGCCGCCTGCACAAGTGGATCTTCGAGGTCAAGATCGAGGGTTCCGCGAGTTTCAGGCTTAAGCACGATCGTTTGCGTCACCGTTCTATTGCGGCCCGCTTGAAATATCCTCTCCTCCTCCTCCTCCTCCTCCTCATCCTCCTGTGTCACACGTTTCTATTGTCATCATCCCTCTCTCTCACCTCTCTCTTGTGCGACTACCTTGCGTTTCACCCTTACAGTGTCGCGTTACTATCAATTTTCTCGACACACGCTTTCACAATGGCGAACGATCGAATTTCGACGAGTTATTAATTCCTTTGATATCCCGGAGATTGATACTATAATTTTCTCTTTAAATAAGATAGTGAGTGAAATTCATGGTATTTCGATAAACAGCGAGAGTGTGTGCGAAAGTTACATTGTGCAACGTGGTCGGTATATCGTGCGGTAAGTTAAATATATGTACGTGTGTATGTTAAACAAGTTTAGCCTTTTGCTTGCCGAGTCAGTCGTGTATGAATTTACACGCTCGAGATAGGAAGTGAACACACTTGATGAATAATACTTTGGAAAATAAATGTCACGGGACGATGTTATTGACCGAACAAAGGTGGGTCACCGATTCAATAACCGCGACTGAACAATGTATATATACATATATATGTATATATACAAAGTTTAATATAAAAAGTTTCGAAGTTAAAATTGAAAAAATTCGGGAAAAAGAAAAGATTCTTGCTAACATTTTTAACGTAAATTAACGTCATTAACGCGTTCGATGGAAAAATCTAAAGCGACGGGTATTAATTTTTGACGAGTAGAAAGAAACAATATATATATATATCAATCATCCAAGACACTCTCTCATTCGGCACTAAAATTAAAAATTTATTTAAAAAAGACCGATTTATATGTCAAACTTGGAACTTTATTCTTTTCGAAAATCGGAGATTGAACAACGCCACGGGAGAATTTTGATTATTGGCACAGTTATCGAAGCCGCGGTTTCGAAACTTTGCCCTCCCCCCCTCCCTCCTTATCCCCCTTAAAACTTGGAAAACAGCTTCGTTTGCTCGGTCGTGGTAATCGAACGGAATGCAAAGCGAGAATCGTCTCATGAGGATCCGGTTGCAAACGCTTCCCATAAGAGGCCGGAGATAAGAGGGACAGGTAGAAAAACAAGGGGCCGGATTGCAAGAGAAACACGATCGACCGAAACGGGCGTTATTTCTTCGAAACTCGGTTGCAACTTGGCGTTCGATACGCAAAATATTCGTCGGGGGAGGGGGAGGGGGGAGAAAAGATGCTGACCGCGCGAAAACGAAAGCGAGACACCGGAGATCAGCGGCTTTTGTAAATCGAATATCCCCCCCCCTCCCCTCCCCTCTCCTTTTGCTCGACAACGCGGTCGTGCTCGGTGTCGGAATACTAGGTGTTTTCTTCTCGTCGAGAGAACAGGTGGCATTTTTTTTTCTTTTTTTTTTTTTTTACGTACGCTGCGAACGGAGCGGTTTCTCGTTTCTTCGAAAATAAACGAGAATAAATTACAATTTTACGAGAATAATTCGTTTTAAGATACGGATAAAGGAATATATATAATTTATCTCGTGGAGACGTTATTACGAATAATTTTGCTTTTCTTTTTCTTTTTAACCGTGGTTAATAAATTACGTTGATAATGTCATCAAAAATATCGTCTTGGAAAACGTTCATTATCGATCTCTGTTTGTTTCTAGCGTAATAGGAAAAATTCAACTGTAGGGTGTAGTAGTGGAGAGGCTGACGAGGAAGAAAACTTGACTAACGGCTGATCATTGTCTGTGGAGTTGATTGTTCTTTGTAACCGTTGCGAAACAGTTTTATGGGATGGGTCGTGCGACTTAGAGAATTATTTATCCTTTTTTTTTTCTTTTTTCTTTTTTTTTTTTTTT